CTTCCCTCTCCCCCCTCTGAGCTGATGTCATTTGTGAACGGTCCCTGTGCATTTTGATTTTGAGATCATTGTTGAAAGAAAATAGGACTGAAAACAGGCAAAATTAGGGTAAGAGGCTATTTTTGCAGCATAATAGAAAATTCTCAGAAAACAAAGCATATCATATTATCTAAACGTTTTGAAGAGTAGATTTATATAAAGTAGCAGAATTGATGAACAAGCATTCAGAAAGCAAATGTAAAAAATTATCTTGAGACAAATACAGTATGAAATAAATACGGCCATTTTTAATACATGAAAATAATATCATGGCCTATTACCGAAAAAGGAAAAAGTCAAAATTTTTTAAAATGTGCTTTTCTGTTGGTGTCTATAGTATAGTCATGTCCAAAACAGAAAGATGTTCTTTATTCTATGCTTTAAAGTTCATTTGACCATTCCAGCCTGACAGGACTGATAGAAATACAAAGTGAAGTTTAAATAATTCATGCATTCTTGGGTGTCAGAAGGAAAAATGGAAATGTACTGAAAAGGTTGAACCGAAAGTTATTTTGAAATGCAGGTTCAGAACTAGAACAGTATACATTTCAAACGTTTCAAAAATCCATGCATGTAACATTTAGCATCATGAAATTTTCTAGAAAGTAAAAAAAGTGAAGAAGAATTCAGAAAATGGCAGAAAAATATTATGAGGTGTAATTTCTAAATAGCCATAAATTATGAAAAATTAATTTTTTTTAGATGTATAATAATGCCCACATTTTCTAGAATTGAAAAAAAAATTCTGAAAAAAGAGGGAAAAAAATTGGTCTCATAAAAACTATGGTTACCGGTACTTTGAAATATGTACAATGCACTATAATGAGAAAATAACCCTAAAATGACTAAAATGGCTGAATAGTGTGAAAAGGATGCAGCCCTACTCACTTGCAGGTGTTCAGAATCCATCAGTCAAAAAAAAAAAAAAAAAAAAAAAAAAAAAAGAATACACAATGTGTGTCTGTTCAGCATACACACGTACATTCATCAATCATCAATGTACGTCGCAACAGTCCCCGTGAGCAACGAAAACCATCTGTCTGAGTGCGTCTTTACCACAGAATTCTACACTGTAGAATTCTGTGGTCTTTAGTTATGTTTGAATCTACTCCGCGTGAGATGCGGCGAGCCATGTCTGCTGAATGATGAATCATGAATGTACCTTCAATTCAATGAGAGTTGAACCTACTCTATATGAGCAGGTGGGGCAAGTTATCTATTTGTTCACATCCTCATGTGTATGTTTGAACTTGCTCTAGACGAGATGGGCCACAAGTTATACATGTAATATGTACATGTATCAAATGTGTGGTTGAACCTACTCTACCTGAGATGGCGCAAACTGTCTATTTGTATATTTTCATATATA